GTTGTGGGGGTTTTGGGGATTTTTTGTTTGGTTTTTTCAAAACATAGTATTTTTTTGAAATGACAGGTATAGATAGTGCTTTAGCTATGGCTACATGTGCGTAAGGAATTTTGAGCCAGTATTTTCAAAGACATTGAATACATGCAGAGTGCTTTTTTGTATTGTGCTAACCTTAACCTCTAAGGACTAATGGCCAATTTCTAGGTCTTCACTAGGTATACTAACAGCAGATTTTTTGTTCTGTTGGTTTTATCTGTACTCCTCCCTACTTAGGAATCACTTTAGTGTATTTCCAGTTGTTACTTTTATAGACCATCCTTTGGCTTATATGCAAAAGGATCTTTCATGTGGGGGAAGGGCTGTGTTCTTAACAGGTCTTTTCTTTTAGACATCAGATAGGGAGGGATTTATTTAAGTCTGAATATAGTAAAAGAACAAGCCTTATGTTACACTTTTCTGGAAATGAAGTCTAATTATAGTTTACATTGTTGGAAATAAAGGAACATTTACCCTCTTTAAAAGGGTGCTTTATCCTGTTGAAACCAAAAAGATTTTGTCTATAAATGCTATCTTTTTAGAAACTATTAGAAATGATTCTTCTTCCAAAGTCAGTCTTTGGAAAATATTGAGGCCGCTAACAGATTTTAGTTGGGATTGTTAACATAATTTAAGATTGGGATAATGGAAAACTGGAGAGCTGTGCTTTTTTTGTTGTTGTTCTTAAATTATGTATCTATAGGAATGTTCTACATCTCTGAATGACCTCTGGCTTTAAAAAAAAAGTTTTTATTTGCATGGCTGCATTTACATTACCACTGACATTTTCTTCTACTCTTCTCCTTTCTTTCTCCTTTGGGTTGGGTAGAAAAAAAAAAAAAGGAACTGAAGCATGTGCCATTCAATACTGTCATTCCAAATTCTCAGACTATTGCCTGTTGTGAAACTATTTGAAAACTGCACTGAAAGCTGCATCTGTCTGTATTTTTTTCTTTGTAAATGACCTCACCTGTAAATTCACGAAATAAATATTACGTTCAAGCTTTTTTATGTATTCTTTGAACAGTAAGATAGGTAGCTTTTTATTACAGTTTTAGATAATCATTCTTTTGAGCTCAAACTAACTTTGAAAATAGACACGTACAAGTTGGTTGGTGTGAATGGTGGTGTTTCCTGAAAGCATTCATCGTTTTTACTGTGAAACAAAGCTTTACAGAGAGCCAAGAGAGCCACATTCCTTCAGACAGTCTATAAACAAGAAGACCATATAGTTTAACCAAACCAAGAAACTTGGTTTGGTTAAAAAAATTTTTATAAAAGTAATAATTTCCCTAAACTGTCTTGGTAAATTCTGTTGTATGATCTCTGTTTATAACAAAATAACTTGGGAGTAGTTAGGGAAAGGGGTGGGTAATCATTCTGTCTCCAGTCCTCTACTAATTTGATTTGTAAACAAAGTGACAGAATTTTAAATTTAAAGTTTGTAAGTTTTAAAATACTGATAGGAAAAAAAAATGGTCCCCTAAAAAATATACACATCCTGTCCTTGGAACCTTACCTAAGATGGCAAAAGGGGATTTTGCAGATGTGATTTTATTGAGAGGAAATTACACATGGGAAGTGTAATGGCATACCTTCTTTAAAAAAAGAAAAAAAAAAATTTTAAATGGTACTAGGGATTGAAACCAGTGGGTTCTACCATAGAGGTCCATCCCCAGCCCTTAGTTTTGAGACAGGGTCTTCTGTTCCCAAGGCTAATCTCAAACTTGTGGTCTCCTACCTCAGCCTCCTGGGTCACTGCGTTATTGGCATGCACCACTGCACCTGGCCAACTTTTGTCATTTTAAGCCACTGAGTTTATGATAGTTCCTTACAACAGCTATAGGAAGCTAATGATACTTTCACTGTATGTGTATAAGGAGAATTATAGTTCAAAGTTCTTTTTAGTATCCCAAAGTAGAACAACTTCATATGTACTGAAACTGGCCAAAGGTGGTTTAGGTAGTGAATGTACACTCAAGTGACAGACTGGCATTTAAGTCAAGAGCTGGAGGTATTTGTGATTTAAAATAAGTAGGATCTTGGTATAATCACCAAGCCAAAAAAGACTGCCCTTCAGGTATAAGGTAAAAATTGAGATCCCCTTGTCAGTATCCTAGAAGAGACATCAAAAGGAAAACACCATTTTCAAGTGTTTTGGAGCTCATAATTAGATACCATAAAAATAATGAGTGATTTAAGGTGACAGTACACAGATTATACTTGGAACTGTTACTTCTAGATGGTCTTCCTGCTGAATACCTGCTCATCACTGGGACAATAGCTGTGGTGTTTGACCCCATTCAAAGGGAGGGGAGGAGATTAAAGGTGTGAGTAGGCTTAAGGGACATGACTCCTGTCATTCAGAGCTCAGAAACACCTAGCTCAGTTCTTTTGTTAGTGACTGCAGAAGTGTTGTCCTGAAAGGGTATGGAGAGTTTTTCTAGAGCAATAGCAGGATGAAACTTTAATTCAAAGGGGAATAGGATGAATAATGGTGGGGTTCTCTGCAGAGATAACCCATACATGGTTTATCTCTGAATAACTTCTGTACTAAACAACTTTTACCTGCTTTTTTTCAATATCTGCAGTACAAGATTTTTACCCATATTTGCAACTACATTTTCCTGAATGCTGGCAGAAGACATGTGATTCCTAGGTCAGACAACAGACTTGATGATTTAGAGCACAGCATGCAAGTGCCCCAGATCCTAGGGGAGGAATGTGGTGGATCTAGGTGAATATAGCACATGCAGTGGATTTTCGTTGCTGCCAAACCTTTAATGAGCTGGTCACAGCAAGCTGCCTGACCAGAGACTTAAAAGAACAACTAAGGTTTAGGTAAGGAGTTTTCTACGAGACAGGGAAACAGCAATCGTGACAAAAGATCTAAGTGACATTAAGTGCCTGAGCTGAAAATGAGCCATCCAAATTGAGTCCAGCAAAATGAGTTGTTTTTAAACTGGGAGAAAGCAGTAGTGGAGCTGTATGTTATCAGAATTATGAGGACTGGGATTGTGGCTCGCATGTATGAGGCACTAGGTTTGATCCTCAGAACCACATAAAAATAAAGGTATTGCATCCATCTACAACTAAAAATATTTAGAAAAAAGAATTATAAACATATTTAAGACCATTTGTGTAGAGACTACTTCAGGGAAAATATATAATAGAGGGGCAAAAAGTAAAACTTAGAAATGCTAGTTTTTAGTGAGGCCGAACATGTCTGCAAATGAGTCACTGACAGTCTTTGTCAGAGAAATGTCATTGTAATGGTGAAGGCATATCCTGCCTTCAGGGGTCTGAAAAGCAACTGAAATATAAGAATTATCTGGTAAGCAGAAATGAATTTAAGAAAGTGAGTGGAAACCAAAAATTAGTCCACAAGATGGCAAGATTTAGGCTTTGTTTTGAAAGAGAAACTGAGAATGAATCTAAGGACAAGATTTAAAGGACAGAGCACAAACTAAAGTGGGGTGCTAAATCATTTCAGAAGAGCTGGTCATCACAACAGAATATTACTGCACCTTGCCCACCATGCTCCATGCTTGAAGATTCTTGTCCACTTAGTGGATTATGAACCAGTTAAATCACTGAACAAGAAGCATCCTTGTATGTATGTTTTAGTTATATGACTACATCGAGGGCTTCACTTTTTTATTGCTGATTTTTAACAAGAACATTTAATCTAAAAGTACATTTTCTTCCAATAACTAGCTTTCTCTTACCTTCCAAAATTCATTCAAGAAGAAACAAAACCAAATGAAGACAATTTGACAAGTAATATGAAACTGCAACATAAAAGCGGTTATGAGGCATAAATGAGAAGGAGCAATGTTAACTCCCTGCTGTAGTGGCAGTCAGTGCTGGTTATCTTTTCCCTTTCTGTCCCCTCACCTCATACCCACTCACCACCAAAACCTATCCAGCAGTGCTTAAAAAGGTTAGCCAGTAGAACAGAACATTCATCTTGAAACCTCAATTCTTATCTAAATCTTTTTTCACTTGGTGTACTTTACATGGACCTAACTTTTGGTAGCAACAAGGAGTTTCCCTAAATTTCACAACCAACAACTACAATAACAGGTTTAGAAACCGTTATTCATTCAGTTGCAACCAATGCAAAACCTACTACTACCTGTTAGTTCAGCTTCTAGATCAAAATCATTCTGCTTACCTGCATGTCCTATTTCAGCAGATCATCGTGGCTGTGAAAGATTCACTTTAGATGGCTAAATGTGTTGCCTAAACTAGAGAGGTCCAAAAGGCCCCTAATAAGATATAGGTTCAACTTGTAATATAGCAGCCTTTAAAGTACTGTACAAAAATAATAATTGTGTAACTCGTTAGAAAGTTGGGGGCTGGGGTTGTGTCTTAGCTGTAGAACACTCACCTAGCATATGCGAGGCTCTAGGTTCAATCCTCAGCACCACGTATAAATAAAGTTTTTAATTTAAAAAAAAAGAAAGTAAGTTGGGAGTTAAGGGAAATGGCAGTTAAAATTTTTCTCACAGCTTCAAACTGTAATATTCTCCCAATCCAAGTGGGAATCCAGGAATCATTTTGATTAAATAACTCTTTTTTTAAAAGTATTTTAAAAATATTTAATGCAAGAATATATTTGACTTGGCTTGTTCAAGATTTACATCAGTACATTTCCATACATTAATTGATAGAACTATATAGAAAGGAAAAAAAACATGTTACAGATAGGTTGTTTTCATTCTTTTTTGCTACTTGAGATCACTATGAATTCCAATCCTGGATCCTTTAGAAAAAGCAATAACATTTAATAAAAGAAGATTTAAAGCCACAGACAGCATTTAGAGTCTCTGCATACTTCTGCATGGGGAACACTTTCATACATACTCTTGGTAAACTAAAATAGTCAGCATTATCCATGATTCTGTTTTAACTCCCACTATAGGCTCATATCTGGAAAACACAATAAACCAGGCCAAAAATCTGTGTAGAGAAATTTAATGAAGTGACTCAAATGGTTTCAGCCATGACACAAGGATGTCAGAAGTTAATGAAACCCCTTTTCTTATGCAAAATTCCAAACTAATAATACCCCAAGTATTGAGTATCAGTAAATACCTTTGTTCCTGCACTTCTTTAAATGGATATTACCATTTTCATTTTGTGTGTAAACTCCCCTATATTCCACTAGTTATGAAAGCAAAGTATCTTTTGTACTCCATCCATAAAAACATTCATTAGACACCATTTTCTAAAAGGTAAAAACATTGACCAGGTACCACACACTTCCAAAAATAAAATGTTTCATACTCGTTATAGGAGATCCTTACTTCATTTGTTTCCTTTCATAGTCTTTGAATGCACCATAAGATCACCAGGTATAACACGACTGAAATACAAAACCAAGTTTTAGCAAGCATCTGCCTTGTCTGTTGTAGGAATGCTACATCAATATGAAGTATCTTTGTTTCTATAGCACCAGTGATAGCTATGATGGCTAACCATACCAAGTGTACGTGAGGATGTAGACCAACTGGCTAGCACCACTGTAAAATCATAAATCACTTTGGAGAACAGTTTGGCAGTGAAATACGTATATGAGATAAACAACTTGTATAAAATGTTCTAGCTCCTTTACTTGCAACAGCCAAAAACGGAAAGTAGCCCAAATGTTCACCAACATTTAAGTGGATAAACAATTCCTTTTAAAAAAGGAATAAATAACTGTTACAAACACAGATGAATCTCCAAATAATAAAGACCAAAAGAAAAAAGTACATATGGCATGATTCCATTTTTATATAATTCAAGAAAATGCAAACTAATCATTAGTGATAAAGTTTACCAGTGATTGTCCGAAGACAGAAGAGTAGCCAGAGGGATTATAAATGGGCACAGGGAAACTTGCAGGTGGTAAGTGCGTTCATTGTCTTGATTTGAGTTATTCCATGGTTCTTTATATATAAAATTTCACCAAATTATACACAATTTAAAAAGCTATTTGTCTTTTTCACTCTTGGTCTTATGAGTACACAGTGCTATTTTCCAGAGATTAAATGATATATAATGTCTTCACTCATAGCAAATAGAATATATATACTCATGTGTCTTTTGTTTATAATTTTTGCTTTATTTACCAGTATGGTAAGTATCATGTAAAACTAGTAGTGTGCTAGAGCAGTATTGTACCAGGTCACATATACACATAAATAAAAACACATTAGTCCAAGAAGATTCTGAGACCAAAAGTGGTTCAGAAGTTTTTTATCTATGGAGTTATAAAGTATTACTAGGGAAAAAAGCAAACTAAAAAGCAGAAAAAGATATTTTCAGACACTCAACCCTATCAGAAAAATCTTCTGCAGACACACTGAGTTGCTTTCACCAATGCCATTTTCCCATGAGGCTCACTGTTGACCTGGCCTTTCCTCCAAGATCAGGAAGGCCTAGTGTTAAGTCATTAGCTCCTTCTTGAATTTAAAGAGCCCAAAAGCTGCTAGGAAAGAAAAGGTTGCCATATCCTCTGTCAAACACCAAGGATCCATCATCTTGCTTCCCACAGCTATGCAGGGACTAACAATAACTTTAATATACTTTTGAAGACGAATAGCAGCAGACCAACTCAAGCAGGTGGGATAAGAGGCTTAATATACAAAAAGGTTTGTATTAGGTACATCAACCAACAGGATACCAAGATACTTTTTAACCTAAGGAAAGAAGCTTCATGGCCCCCACTTTCTGCTCTTTGATGCCAGTCTGTGTCCTTTCTAACTATTCAAGATGGCTTTATCATCTCAACAGACAGCTCTCCCAGGAGGAAAAGGCTGAAATTTATTTAAAAAACCATTAAAGAATTCAATAGGAGCCTATGCATGTAGCTCAGTGGTAATATGCATGAGTCTTGGTTCAATCTTCAGCACCCCTACAAAACAAGAATCAACAGAAGCTATGCTACAGAAACATTTGTATCTTCCTGTTTTGTGAGATGTTGGAAACAAACTTTAGGGCTTTTTCGTCTCCACTGCATAGAGGTCTGATCGCTTCTGTTTAAAAATGGGGATTTGCTGGCGTATTTCAGCCAACTTCTTCAGGTCTGCAAGAACAGGAAAGTGCATGATTAATAATTTGCAAATCTTCCCCAAGCTGCAAAAACTAGAGTCTCAGCAAGTAACTCACCTAATATAAATGCACTTTATCTGAATGCACCCATAGCCCCGCAGTGGTTCCAAGATCATTGCCAAGCAAAGCTATAGCCCTATGCACCTGGCCTTAAAATAAGACCTAGAATACTCTGAATCCCAAAAAGGGGTATAAAGGAGTCATTTCAAATGACTGAGGCTTCATATTTCAGAGCAGTGGGGATACAAGGGAGCCAAATTCCCAGAGCCAATCTTACCTATGTCTGAATACAGGATCATTTCTTCAGTGCCAGCTTTGGCTAGGACCTCCCCCCTGGAAAAGATTCAGAGGAGAATGAGTGGACTTACTACCATCTGGTCATTTTCCAGGTCTCTGTTTTTCCTCCCTGTCTTACAAGCCAAAGGAAAGATTCTGAGACCTAAAATAAAATGGTATGTGTACAAATCCCTGCTTTATCATTTAGTTGCTGTGTGACCTTATGGCAAGTCATTTGGAATCACAAAGAGCTCTGTGAAGTTTAGTAAAATTATGATGTATGTTTCATAAAACTGCAGACTGCTAGGAAGTGGCAGCTATTCCACAATTATAAACATCTAGGAATAAAGTTAACTAGAAATAGCGCCACCCTATTTCTTCATGAGTACCCTTCAACAAGGACCTTTCCAAAGGCAGTCTTGACCTTCTTACTCCTGCCCAGGCAACTACTCAACTTGAGGGTAGTGATTCTGGGCCTGAGAAGACCCCAGCTCTGCTGGAATCCCTGCAGGCTAAGGGGTTTTGGTTTCAGATTCAAGCAAAAGATTTAAAACTGTAGACTCTGGTGGGGCATCCACATGCTTAAGACTAATCTGAAAAATTAATTCCAGTGCTTAGTCTAAGCCCAGAGCAGATATTCAGAAACTTTTAGTGAAATAAATGTTTTTTAAAGTAATGTGTCATAACAAATAATCTGACATAATAACTGGTTCCACTTACTAGAGAGCCATAAACATTCCTGGCACAGATGGCATTTAACCAAAAATCCTTTTCTGTTCTTTTCTAATTCTTGTCCATTTGTCCTGGCACTCAAAAATCCCTCTTTGTGTAACCCAGGCACCCACCCCCATGTCAACATAAGCCAGAGGGCCCCCAGGCCCTGTGGAATGAAGAAGGTAGATCACAATCTATCCCAAGAACTAGCTATGGAGCAGCTACCCAAGAGGCAGGAAACCTATTAATAATATCCTGACAGAGGAACCTGATGCAAGTTCATGGAAACTGTTAAGCCAGCTTAACCCTTCCAGTCCAATATCCTCCAAGTTTAACCCTAACATGTAGAATGATCAGGGAGAATTTCACTAGTCATATTTTTCTCATATCTTCCAAGGCCTCCCTACCATACACATTGAGCTTTAGATGCTATAATGTCAGAAGAGTGAGCATCTACGGACTCCCATAGCAATGTTTAACCCTTCTCAGTCTTGTCTATTAACCCTGAAATTGTATAAGTACACATCTGTGTGTGTGCGTGCGTGCGTGTGTGTGTGTGTGTGTGTGTGTGTGTGAGAGAGAGAGAGAGAGAGAGAGAGAGAGAGCGCTGTGTGATTATTCGTATATAGAAACAGTGAAGAAGGCGGCCAATTTCCAAAGTCCTGGATCCAGTTAAACTCTGAGAAGTACAGTTCTACCCTCAATAATCTGAGTTTAACAAGGATAAGCTCCTGAGTCCAAGTTAATCATGTTTGTGAAAGTACAATATAAACTCTACAAATGTGGACCACAAGGTCTGCATATTAAGGGATGAGTGTATGTTGTTATGTCTGAATGGACTTATATGCTGCTTTCACTGAGTAATAAAATATTTTACCCTTTCACAGGAGACAGGGTCATAGTTTCCCTTACTAAACCCAAACTCCCTGCTTCTCTAATCATTATGCTTCGAACAAAGTCCTTGCCCTGTAACTCATTCCTGTCCTAGAATCAGTTACTCAGCTTAAATTTTAACCAAAAGTTAAGAGTTCAGGAATCTCTTTTATTAAAACCATTCACCCTTCACTACTGCCTTGTTTACTCTAAGTGATTCAAGTGTGATTGACAGTGAAAGTTCACTTAGATACAAAGAAGAGGGCTAAGGTCAAGCACGTAGGTAATTTCTTTTCACATGGTTTTCAAGGGGAAGCTTCTCTTGTGCCTATCATGTGTGGAGAACTGGGAGTGGAAGATGAAGGAGGCTGGTCAGGGTTTAGACAAGCTAACTGCCCATGTGTCATCTCTCAAGCTCCCACTGAGCCCACCCTCACTTAGATACACTCACCAAGGGTTCACAACAGTGCTGTGTCCCCAGGCAACATAGGAGGCGTTATCATCCCGGGCAGGAGAGGCTGTAGCCACATATATCTGATTATCAACAGCCCTGTAGCCAGTGAACAGAAAAGAGGTAATGCACATTATACATCCACAACATTTCTCTATCCAAGTACACAGATTCTTTGTTTAAAAAAAAAAAAGAAAGAAAGAAAAGAAAACTACTAGAAGAAAACACAGAGGCAATGTTTCAGGATATTGGAATGAGCAAGGATGGGGGGGGGCAAGACCCTAAAAATGAGTGGATCAGTTACTCAGCCTAAATTTTAACCAAAAGTTAAGAGTTCAGGAATTTCTTTTACTAATAAAACACTACTGCCTTGTTTACTCTAAGCAATCCAAGTGTGATTGACAGTGAAGGTTCACTTAGACACACAGAAGAGGACTAAGGTCAAGCACTTAGGTAATTTCTTCATCACATGGTTTTCAAGGGGAAGCTTGAAATAGATGAGATTATGTCAAACTAAAAAGCTTTTCCACAGCAAAGGAAAGAATCATGAGTGCAGAGACAAGGTAGAGAATGGGAGAAAATATTCACAAGTTATATATCTGACAATGTGCTAATATCCAGACTATAAGCCAGATGTGAACAGAACTACAGATAGTACCTGCCTATAATTCCAGCAACTTTGGGAGGGTGAAGCAAAAGAAGTACAAATTTAAGGTTAGCCTCAACAACTTAACAAGATTCTGTCTCAAAATTTTTAAAAAAAGGCTGGGATATATAGCTCAGTGGTAAAGTGCCACTGAGTTCAATTCCCAGTACCAAAAAAAAAATCAGACTAAAAGCAACTCCAGAAACTCAACAGCTAAAAACCAAATAAACCTGATTTAAAAGTAGACATTTACCAAAAAAAAAAAAAAAAAAACATATAAATGGTTCTACAGTCCAGATCCTGAATGTGCCCCAAAATCCCACACGTTGAAGAGTGGTCCCAGCTAAAAGCACTACCAGGAGGTGGTGGAACCTGTAGGTAGAGCCTAGTGGAAGGAACTTAGTGGGGGTTGACCCTGAAAAAGATATTAGGACTCTGGCCCCTCCTCTTTCATTCTTTGCTTCCTGGCCACCCTAAGGTGAACAGCTCTCTATCATTTGTTCCAGCTGTGATGAATCCACAAGTACTACTACAGGTCCAAAGCAAAGGGGCCATCAAGTCTATGGGCTTCCTAGTAAGTGAAGATTCACTGATGTCCCTCAGAGATTGCCCATGCACCAGCAACTTCAGAAAGAACTAGAAGAGGATCACAAACTAATAAGCCATGTGGGAAGTGCTCCTTCTATCTTTTAATGGACATTTGGGCAAGCATGAGAAATCAAATCAATTCCAAAAAGAGGTGGAGCAACTGGATGAATTAATGTTTGCAAATACAGAGGAAGAATTTTTCTATGAGAAGACAGTCCTGAAGTTCAACTACTCAGGGCAAGAGGAAAGCAACACTTGCTCTTGTAAACTATGATGTTAATTCTAAACAACAAGATGAGTAAATTCATGGATAAACTAGAAGAACATCTATCTAGCCCATTTTCTGTGAACAGTGATAGGCTTGTTTATGTAAAATTACCAGAAAACCCAGTTAAGATTTACTGAACAACTCATAATTGTATTGAGATTCAAGTCCATTATGAAAAGTAGAGTTCTATTCCATGTATTTGTGACACATTTACAAAACATCTTTTTGGTTAAATTACGAATGGTTGATTTAAAACTTCCAATAAAAAAACATTAAGTAGTAATTTTAAAAGAACTGAATAAAAACTCACATTTTTATTTTAAAAAAAATCTGTAAATGCTCAGTACCAATAAAAAATGGTTTCTGAATAAAAGAAAAAAGCATTTGGAGTTTAGCTCAATGGAAGAGCACTTGCTTAGCATGCACAAGGCCCTGGGTTCAATCCCTGGCATGGTAGGGGGAGTTAGAAAAAAAAGCAGTACAGGTTGATTCCACTGTACAGGCCGATGTTAAGGAAACTTCTCTTCAAAAAATAGTTAGTTGAGCTTGGACCTGCAGTCCAAGCCACTTGGGAGACTGAGAGAGGAGGATTACTTGAGCCCATGCATTCAAGACCAGCTTGTGCAAGATAGTGAGAGATCCCAGTCGAAAAAACAAAAATACATCTGTAATTTAGTGGCTCTCATTCAAGGGTGACTTTGCCCATCAGATTTGCCAATTTCTGGAGTCTTTTCTGATTATCACAACTAGGGAGTTGTTATTGGCATCTTGTAGGTATAGGCCAGGGATGTAATTAAACATCCTCCAATGTATAGGTCAGTGCCACAACAAAGAATTATCTAGTCCAAAATGGCAACAGTGCAGTGAGGAGTGTGGCAAAAGCCAACCTGTAATGCAACAAAAGAGCAAAGCTTCTCTGTTTAAAACAGGTCAAGCTTTCCAGAAAATGGAGTAGCCTTCCTGGGGCAATATACATTGGAGGGTGATCTGGCACTTCCTGCCAATGATGGCAGCCCCACCATCTCAAATTAGCAAAAACTTCAGGTGGGAGTCCAGATATATCAACCCACTTCTCCTGGGAACCTTTAGATTCAGTCAATAGACCCATATTAGATCGTTCCAGTATGTCCCAAGCTTTCCTTGCTTTTGACAGAAAGGTACATTAATTAATATTTATGGCATCATATTCCAACTTCTACTCGACATCAGCCAAAACTTCTTGCCTTTCTATTCAAAATTATCATTATCTCTAGAAGTGAAAATAGAGTATTGACTGGGAAGGGGCACAAGAGAGCATTTCACAGATCAGAAATCTTCTATATGTTGATCTTGTTGGGTGAATACACATATAAAAATCCATTGACCTATATGCTTAAAATTAGCACAGTTTTCTGTAAGTATATTATACCTCAATTTTTTAAAAGATTAATGAAAAAACCATCACCTGCGACAACATTTCATGATTCATAGAGCACTTTACACACATAGTCACAATTTTTCTTTCCAGCGTACCCTTCACCCTTCCTCAGTCTTACAGAACTAGGGAAAAAGCAACTGTGACATACCAAAAAAGTATGCAAAGCCTATAATTTACACATTAGAAGAACAAGAGCTTAAAATGAGTTTCTAGTCAGAGTATCCCAAGGACTAGTAGTTGGTGTGGAGGATAGGGCAGGATAAGCACCCTAAACTGAATGGCAGAGTCAGCTGTGCAGAGACTACAAAACTCTCTCTAGGGCCAACAGGCTAAAATAACCCTGTTTTTTCTTTGGCTCCCGAGGTGCTGAGTGCATAAGCTCCATGGGTCTCAATTTCTCTGCAAAAGATGCTGGTAACTATCTTAGAAGAGACCAATTCGTATCTAATCACAGAAAAATGAAATCAGTGTCCAACTAATTCACTGAATGCTCTCAAAATGCAAAAACCACAGTCCTTGAAATCCTTGAGGTTGGTTCTATGGCTTCTGAGAAGGTGCCTAGCAGTAGAAGCCCTCCCTACAGATTCATCCTTTGAAACTTCATTTGGACGCCAGGGCATGTTAGCTCAGGGAAAGAATTACATTCCGCAGTAAGTGGTAATACTTCCACCAAACCAAAAATCTTTCCACAAAGAGGAAACACTGAGATGACTGGTTCCTTTCTTACCGCCCTCGCTGAAGCAATTCCCAGTGGGCTGGTCCAGTGGTCAAATTGAAAGCCCCAGGATACACCAACAGCTGGCAACCTTGGGGAGAGAAAAATCAAAGACAGTGGATGCAGATGAACATCAGTTCCTCCCTTTACTCCTACCAACAGGGATCAAACTCAAACTTTTACAAGCACAAAAAAGATGTCAGCCTAGTCAGGCAGAGTCAATATGAAGATATGGCTCTGAATTCTTCCAGAGATACACACATAAAAAACACAGCCATAAGAAAAGTGGGATTCATGACTGAAATCAGAACATATGCCTTTAAATAAAATAATAATAATAATAAAGTAGAGAACTTTCATTCAATTTTTTCTGAGCCATGTATGATTAGTACCACATGGCTAACAACCATGTTCTGTGATTCTTTTCAACTGAAATTAGAGGCACAGTAGTTGCTCTAGAGTTTACTGATAAGGTTCAACACAGACCATTAACCCCAAAGCCCAAGAACGTCTACCCTCTGCTGGGCAGGCAGTCAAACCACCTTTAACACTTCACTTTGCTCAGTGGCAAATGGCAAGTAGCTTTAGTCTAGTAAAATGCTAACATTTGTTGAGCACCCACACAGGGGCTTTACAAGTTCTCTATCCTTAATACTCAAACCACACTGCTCTAGATGTTAAACGATTTCCCGGAAGTACTATCCCATTTAAGAAGAAGATTTGGAACCAGAATCCAGCTCTGACTTGGTTCTTCATGCTTCCAGACACTACCATGCTTCTCCTAATTTGGAATGAAATGTCATTGGCTATATGTCTGAGTACTAAATTCATGGACATATAGGCCATTTCTTCATTTCTACTGTGTTCAAAGTTACTACAAACAGTAACAGGAGGGGCTTAAAAGATAGAGCAGACATTCAGGAGCATGGCTCCTGCTTTAGCTACATAGTAAATACGTTAAATTACAACCCCTCAAAAGTCCCATCATCCATATGCAGCAAGTCTGAGAAGCCAGATGGATTGAAAGAATTGAACAGGGGGAGATCACATTTTATCCCTGGCCCTTCTGTGCATTTGGGCATAATTTTTGTATTTTTTTTTTGTGCAAAGTTTATGCTTAGGGATCCCTCCACCCGAAAGCAACCCAGAACCAACTCTCTATGCAATTACGGATTAGAGAACATAATTGTAACACTATCTCACCTCTCTGTGCATACACTTGTGCAAGTTCTGCAAAGCGGATGTCATAGCAGATGCCCAGGCCCACTCTGCAATAAGCTGTTTCCAAACAGAAAATGCACAAATAAAAAAGTTAACCTCCTGTAGCATGATATGGCAGGGTAAAGCCTCTATAACTTAATGAGCCCAAAACTCTAACTGGAATAAATTAACACAAGGAAGGCCATGTATTAGCTCAATCTTACTCAGACTTCATCTCATAAAGACCTCATTTACATCATCAGAACAGAAATGAAAAATTCATTCCACATGAATGCTCACTAAGTGAGGGGTGTTCAATCATGGCCTAACAGGAACACTAGAGGTAGGCCATGACCAAAAGGAAGAATAAAACTGTGCCAAACCCTTAGTACCTTATTTGGCCTGGACTTTCCAGGGCTATGACTGTTCTTTGCCTTCCCACCTCTCAGTTTTCAGTCAGGTCATGTGAAAAAGTTGAAGAGAGACAAAAAAAGGAAAAGAACACCTCCTTCTCTGGGAAAAGTAAAAAAGGCAAATTTATCTAGTACGTACGAGTATCAAATGTGGAGAAATTATCACCAGGACTCAATGTTTTAGATTCTTGAAATGTAATTTTTCCAGGAACATCAATGTCAAACAGATGGATCTGCATCACAAATAATTGATCTGGTTATCTCCTTTTCAGCAGGGCTCATGGCAGTAACATCAGACTCTTTCCATGGGCAGATATGAAAGTGCTCTAAGATCAACTGTACAAACAGCACCTCCAACCTGCCCCATAACCCACCCACAAGCTGGCTGACATATGATCAAATGGAATTACACTACGGAAAACAATGCCATAGGTTTTACAACCCATTTTCTAGATGATGTGCAAGTCAGTGTTCAGGTTTCTTAATGGAAGTAATTAAGGTGTTGCTTCTTTACCCACTGTAAATGGTCAATGAAGACCTCTCAGAATCACAATCAGAATTAAACTGGCAAATTGGCAGCAGAGGTAGAGAATGAGTAGCATTTAACAACAGGAAAAATTCTGCAATCCTAATTCAGCAATGTGCAAAGAGAGTAATTCATCACTTCCAAATGAGATTTAAGGAAAGCAAATGTGATTTAACATTAGAAAGTCACTGTAATTGATCACACAAATAAAATAAAGAAGAAAATATCAAGTGATATATACAGAGTATCTGGTAATAAACTTTTCTTTTTTCAGTGCAGGGGATCCAACCCCGAGTCTCACACATGCTAGACAAGCATTCTAACACTAAGCTACATTCCCAACGCACATATGGAAACTTCTACAACCATTCATGATTCAAAAAGGGAAACAGAAAAACTCTTCTAGGAAGGGCACTTTTAAAATCAATGAAAGAGTATCCGCAAAAATCCTAAACAACCATCATATGTAAAGGTAAAATATTGAAAATGTTCTGCTGAGACTGGAAGAAAAGCAAGGACACCTATTATTCAAAATTACACCACAGATCCTACACAGAGCCCAAGGAAGGAGTCAAAAGTACAAGATTTGTAAAGAATAAAACCTATCATTATTTTTGGATTAAATTGGTACTCAAAAAAATCTACAAATAAATTTTAAAATTAATGAGTAAGTTTATCAAGGTTACTATACCCGAGATCAGTATTTTTAAAACTAGCTATACTTCTACCAAAGACTTTAATGCAACTATTGAAACAAAACACAAAGGCATAAATAAAAACACACTCTTTATGAATAAACAAACAGGAAATATCAGTAGAAATTTAAAAACATATCAAAGATCCAAATAGACATTTTAAAACTGAAAAATTTAGTGTATGAATTTGCTGTTATTGTTGTTATGGTGGTGGTGCTACTGCTGAGGATCAAATCCAGAGTCTAGCACAAGTAGGTAAGCGCTCTACCACTGAGCTCAAATACCAAATACCCCCAACTCAAATATCTCAATTCTTGAAAACTTTACTGGATTGGCTTATGGGATATTGGGAATGACAAAAGAGTCAGTGAACCTAGTAGATCAACAGAAATTGCCCAATGTTTAGAACTCAGAAAAAGATTAGAAAGCAAAAACAACCAGTGCTAGAGGTGTAGCTCAGGGAGTGCCTTCTAGCTTGTGTGCTTGTGCAAGACACTGGGTTTGATCACGAGCAATGCAAAGAGATATATATATACATACAGAGCCTTGGTGACTTTGGAACAATACCAAACAATACAACATATGCATACTAGAGTCCTAAGAATGGGACAGAAAAAATACTTAGCAAAAATATTCCAAAAACTTCCCAAATGTGGTGACAGACTTAAGTTTTAAGAAGCACCAAGCAGGACAAACCAAAGAAAACCACATGTAGGCACATCAGAATCAAACTATTGAGAAGTAAAGATTACAAAAAAGGTCTTGAAAGCAAAAAGAAAAGAACATCAAATTATATACTGGAGAACAACAATATAAATTACTACTGATGTCTAATCAAGGGGGCAGGGGGAGTTAGAAGATACCAGCTAGAGAAAAAAAAAAAAGTGAACCAAATTGTATTCCAGCAAAAACATTTTTCAAGAATGAAATAAAGATATGCTTACTAACAAAATTCATAGCTAACAGATGATCACTACAAAACTGCTAAAAGGACATCCTTCTGCTGAAAGAAAAGATACAGGATCTTCAAGAAGGAAAGGAAAACACCAGAAACAGTAAAGAATTGGGTTATCATTATGATTTTTACCTCTTAATTTCTTTAAAATACTTATAACTATTTAAATCAAAACCTGTTTTGTGATACTTATAACACATGTGTATGGAATACATATGACAACTGTAGCATAAAGAATGAGGAACAGGAGGGCTAGGGTTGTGGCTCAGTGGCAAAGTGTTTGCCTTGCACCTGTGAGGGACTGGGTTCAATCCTCAGCACTACATAAAAACAAATAAATAAAATAAAGGTACTGAGTCCTTCTACAACTAAAAATATTTTTTTAAAAAAAGAATGAGGGAACAGACCTTGCCATTGCAAGGGTCTTAAGGTGAAACAATACTAATTCTAAGTAAACTGTGACAAGTTAAGGATGCATATTATAATCCCCAGCACAACAACTGGAAAAAAAAAAAAAAAAGGATCTCAGTAGTAGACTGTGTGCTTATTAGCAATTTCTAGCACCAAGACTGAAAAAAAAAAAAAAGCAAAGAGGTATAATTAAAAAGCTGAAAGATAAATTAAAATGAAATTCTAAAACCTATTTAGTTAATTCAAAATAATGCAGAAAAGAAGATCAAAGGGAAAAATAATCTGTATGCCAAATCTAACCATATCAATATTCGCATTAAATATAAATGAGTGAACCACTCCAGTTAAAAGGTAGGAACTGTCGATTTGAAATAAAAAAGTAAGAGCCAACTATATACTGTGTTCAAGAGAACCATTTAAAATATAAGACACATACAGATTGAAAATAAGAGATAAGAGCTGGATGCCAATGGCACAAGTCTGTAATGCCAGCAACTGAGGCTGAGAAGGCTGAGGTAGAAGGATCTCAAGTTGGAGCCAGCCTCAGCAACTTAGTGATACCCTGTCCAAAACTTCACAAAAAGTTAAAAGTGTTAGGGATGTAATTCAATGGTAAAGTGCCCCTGGGTTCAATTCCTAGTACCCAAAACATTAAAAATAAATAAACATCGAGGGCTGGGGATGTGGCTCAAGTGGTAGCGTGCTCACCTGGCATGCATGAGACCCAGGTTCGATCCTCAGCACCACGTACAAACAAAGATGTTGTGTCCGCCAAAAACTAAAAAATAAATATTAAAATATTCTCTCTCTCTCTCTCTCTTTTTAAATAAACAAATAAAAATCGATAAACATTTATTAGGCAAACAATAAACTTTAAAAACTTGGAGTAACTAGTATTAGCAGAGATAAAGTTGACTTCAAGAGGAAAAAAAAGACTGGAAATAAGAGCCATCTCATAATGATAATTTTTTTTTTTATCATTTTCCTGATCAATACTTCAGGAAAACTTAACAATCCTAAATGTACGTGCATTTAGTACTGCAAAGATGTCAACTCATCCCAAACCAATCTCTGTATATTCAATAAAATCCTAATAAAAATTCCTGCAGGTTGTTCCTTTGCAGAAATTGACATTTATTTAAAAAAGGTGTGTGGACAAGAATATCCACTTGTGCCAAAAAGTAAGTTGTGTGTATGATAAGAGGCACTAGGAAACTTTGAAGTAGATTCTTTTGCAGGGAGCGGGGGGTACTAGGGATTGAACTCAGTGGCACTTGACCACTGAGCCACCTCCCCAGCCTGAGTTTGTATTTTATATAGAGATAGGGTCTCAGTGAGTTGCTTACCACCTTGCTTTTGCTGAGGCTGGCTTTGAACTCACAATCCTCCTGCCAGAGCCATTGAGATTACAGGTGTGTGCCATTGCGCCCAGCTGAAGCAGAGGCAATGAGACTTGTACATTCCATACTTACTTTTCTGTGCTTTACTAGTAAAGTTCCATCAGGCCCAAAGACAGCACAGGTGTTATATAGCTTCCCAGCATCCTCTTCAGGGATGGAGCCTTTCATTGAGAGAAGAGACACATTGGCACACAAATCAATCAGAAGCTAAAAAGAATACAGCAATTATTTTGTGATAACTGGTGATAATTATTTTGTGATAAAGTCCTGATAAACTGTCACTTGGGTCCAATGATATAGTTTATTCCCTTCTAAACATTATTTAACTGTTTTTCCTTCTTGAATATGATCTTTCAGAGATAAACTACAAAGTAGGTGAAATATAATCAGATCACATACCAAAGACAGATTTAAAACATAACCAAACTGCTTCTCAAATTCAGTCATGATCTTAAGCAACACTGTTACATATTGTAACAGAGCCAAACAACTTATTGTTGTTCATCTTAATTTCACTAGGTCCTGCAACAAGACTATCTCCCAAAAGGCCTCAAGATGAGAACGTTAAGTCATAGGACTCTTCATCACTGAATGCAGTTCCATCTCTATGCTTCTTGTTTTGCTACGTCTTACTCATTTTTATTTAATATTTATTTTTTAGTTGTAGTTAGATACAATACCTTTATTTTATTTATTTTTTTGTGTGTGGTGCTGAGGAACCCAGGGCCTCGCATGTGCTAGGCAAGCACTCTTACCATTGAGTCACAATCCCACCCCTGTCTTACTCATTTCTAACCCTTAATATAGCATAACACAAAGATAATTGTGTTTGCTGTATTTACTGAACAGAATTTTACTGTGTTTATTTTTAATTGTACCAAATAGAACAATTTACTTCAAAATCACAAAAATAAACCTACCATTATGCATGTGGCCTCTAAGGAAAAAAAAACCTTCTCAACCCTATGTTAGTATCATAAAAAAACATAGATATGGTTTATCTTTCCACATTTCTATTTGCCTCTGCACCACTACTTTTTCTCCAGGGAAAATCATCAATATTAATGTGGTGTGTGTCTTTCTACAATATTTACTATGCCATCACATACATAACTACATATAAAAACATAGTATTATTTTGTATGAGGGATTAATCTGAATGGGAATACCCTATTCATAATCATGTTGAACTTGCTTTTTTCCTACTTTACAGTGTGTCTTGAAGCTTCTTCTACATTATTATTAGATATAAATCTACCTCATTCTTTTCAAGGGTTGAATTATGTTTCATAGTTTAAATGTAATAAAAATCATTTAAATGCTTTTAATGTTTAGGACATTATACCATGTTGAAGGAAGTTACCTCCAATGAGATATATTCTGCACTCCTTTGCTACTTCAGAAAGCTTCTGTGTGGATTCACCAGGAATTTTCTCCGCATATTCAGGAAAATATTTTGTGCCATATGGAGAATTAAAGCATTCCTAGATAAAGTTGTCAGAGAAAAGGAGAAGGAATAAACTTACCAAACATTCAATCCTTTCTTAAAGTTCTGCTTTAAAAAAAAAAAAAAAAAAAAAAGACATGGCTGCGGCTTCCAACTCTGCTATCACTTGAAAGGGTAAAACACAGCTAAGAAAAATCCCCAGGACTAAAGAACCTATGGCTAGGGCTGGGGTTTGGCTCAGTGGTAGGGTGCTTTCCTAGCATGTATGAGGCACTGGGTCTGATTCTCAGCACTGCATATAAATAATAAAAGTCCATTGACAACTAAAAAATATTAAAACAAAAAGCAAAACAAAACAAAACAAAAAACCTATGACCAAAAACAGACTAGCCAATTATCCCAGGTAGGGCTACAGGAGGTAAGTCATGTGAGCTCTACCAGATCCTAGTCACCCTGGAAGAAGGCTAGACCTGCCTTTGCCTTGAGTGTACAAAACAACATGTTCTCAACACTGGACTCCCAGACCTTACTATAAATAAGGTTTACTCATTTGACTTTGAGTATTGGTATGAATTCTTAAGTTTAAAATTATATTATAAACTATGCAACAATAAAACCTGTCCTGAAAAAATAAATAAATAAAAGCTTTCAAAGTCAGAGGTTAAGACGTTTTTCCTCATCTGTAAATGAACTTTCAGCACTCCCATTCTGATCCTACAAAGTTTTTCATTCGGCAAGTGTATGTCTGTCTTCAACAGCTCTCTGACATGTCAAAAAACAACAAGTGGACTGGGTTTGTGGCTCTGTGGTGGAGCACTTGCCAGCATGTATGAGGCACTGGGTTCAATTCTCAGCAACACATATAAGTAAATAAATGAAATAAAAGTCCATCAACAACTAAAAAATATTTTTTTAAAAACAGGCAAAAATTATGAAAATTTCAACTCTAATTCCCTCATGCTGCATTTAATGACACTGCCTTGTACTAGGCAAGGTGCTGGGAAACTAAAGCCCAAAGATCACTATTTGTACAAGATGAATGTCAGTCAGTGAAGTTAGCACACACGGAATTCACTCTCAGCAACACAAACCAATAAAGAGACTATAAATACAGGAGAGTCCCATGACTGACAACATAAGGAAAACAGATTACCAGTGAGATCTCAAGAACTGGGAGACTAGCTCAGTGCCTACTTGCCTAGCATGTGG